TATTATTACTGAATTATTTAAATTGTTGACGATTAATTTTTTTATCTTTAATTACATATTCAAATTACAACCTTAAATCAATGAAATAAAAAAGTAAAGGGGAAGCATGCAATACAAACCTTTGTTCTCGTACATTCAAAATCTTCAGTGCGTTACGTGACGTTTAGGACTGTTCTTTATTCAATAAGCGTGCCTAATTACTGTTGTTAACATTCAAATTGAAACCATGCTGCGATTGGCAGACATCTTGAGATGGGTATTCGTAATTTCAATTTTCTATTTAACCTCCAACAGTATATATCATCATGCCTAAAAACAGTATTCTATTATCACAATTTAAAATTGTGTTATTATTTAATAATTATTTTAAAAAAATATATTTTACAGCAATATTACATTAACATAATTATTAAATTATACAAAAATATTAATTAAAATAAAATATCTATATTAAAAAATAATAAAAAAAAAACATTGTAAGATGGCAAGTCGGCAACCCCAAACACAACTAAAAACAAAAGGCGTTGTTAAAGTATGCGGCTTTTAAAATGGGGAACGTATCTCGTAAGTGGCCGTCAAGCTCGAGCTGGTTGTGGGCCAATGCTTCCCTAGCCCGTGCACTTCTATGCTGAAGACATTGGTGCAGTGTCTCTGACTTTTGTTGAAAATTTTAGCATTTCATCTATGAATCAACAAATGGTCGACTTTTCTGCATAAAAGTATAACACACATGTATATTGATCTAACAGCACCTTCCCCCCACAAACCATTGCAAGCCCCACCTGAAACAACTTCCATACTGTAATTATCCGGTAAAATGGTGTACGGAAAAGTGCCTGTCATTATAAGTTGATTAGTGTTGAGTTATTAATTCACAATGAGTAATATAGCCGTATTTCGTGGCTAAGCTATGGACAGCTCACTATAAAGTATCGTATAATGGTGCTACAGATCAAAAGTGAGATTCATGTAACACAAGTAGGAAACAGTGAAGAATTATGTGCAATGCCAATTGGAAATCCTACCACCACAAAGGAAATGAATGGCAGCACAATCAAAAGACAATTCTACTATATCTTGTAACAATCATAGTCATACTGGGACATCATTGGCATTATAAACCTAATCTTCAAGTGATCATCGGTTCCCCAAAAAAAAAAAAAAGAGAGGGATCGATACCTATATGTAGTACCTATGGCCTAGCTAGCTGCAGACCAAAGAAATCAATACAAAGTTAACTGCACAGAATATATAAACAAATTGACAGATTTTCGAATCTAATAATTTGTCTTTAAATTTTAAATTTTGAGTTTAATTAGTTGATAATTCAACAATTCATTAACTGTTTGAAAAAAATCATCAGTCTCTAAAATTTTCCATGTTTAAAAAAAAAAAAAAAAACAACAAATTGGATCCAGAGCTTTCAATTGATTAGCAACCATAGCAAGTAACCACAAATACAGAGAGATGAAATCTGTTCATGATAGAGAACTAACCAAGACCATTGCCCTCAACATTGCAGTAGACCCCACCATTATTACTCTGTCTCGCCTTTTAATCCATGTGCAAATTCCTGAGCAAGTTCCAGTGATGAGCCCACGCCGGCCATCAGCTGAAATAACTCCCAGGCATCTCTTAATGAGTCGTTAAAACCTTTGTCATAAACAGCTATCTGACGGAAAGAGGGTTGAAAATTATTCTGAGTTACACAATTAATTATCTACGAATATAAATTTAGACCATACTGGAGAATGTATTATCAACAACATATTCAACATCAAGCTCGTAAAAGAAAGCTGAAAGATTTTGCTCTACCTACAAAACTCATAAGACAAATGGATATATCCAAAGAGAACTCCTGGAATCCCTCTCCTAGAAAGAACATCTAGCTAGGTTACCATATTGGTTTATTTGAAAATGGGATGTAATTAATATCAGATTGTCGGAGAAAACCAATTTTTCAAGTTTGCCATTTAAATCTATGTCAGTTATTAACTCCTATACTTTTTATGTCAACAGGTTTCCATCAGTTCTGACGGAAAAATAAACATGGGTCAGGGTTGTCAAGGCAGGCAGTTGCCGTATCCAGATCATAATTTTCATCAATGATGAAGAAGAATTAAGAAAGAAGAAGACACAAATGTTCAAACTTCCAAGAATAATTCATCACTCTCATTTTTTGTAGCTAAACTCTCTTAAGTATTTCCTTAGCCTGGACATCAGGACATCTACCTTTGATTGCACTGAATCACCACTTTTGAACCACAATTATTTCTCTTTGGTAATCATACTTACTGACCTCACTTGTTAGCATACCCACTAATGAAATGAAGCTCCCAGCTTGTATAAAAGAATACCATGCCGCCAATTTCCTAGTTATCAATAAAATTGCTTCACACAAAAGTTTCGAGACATTCCAGAATAGAAAACCAGATTCTGGTTTTAAAACAACCTAGCATATGCAAACCGAGCTACAATTGTACATTCTAAGAGACAAGCAACAGGAATGTATGAAACTACCTGGACATAGGCAAACTTGGTTGAACAAGAGTCTCCACCAGATTAAATTTAAAACAACCTAGCATATGCAAAATCTTGTCAGCAAAGACTTCAGAAGGAACTTATTATTCCAATTCAGATTTTATCCATTTCTAACTATTAATTAATATATTAATGAACAATTCAAAAGCAACAAGATAGAATCTATAATTAATTCTCAAATATGTAATTTTGAGAAAGACCAAATTTAACTCAAGCCCAAACTCTTGTACCCTTTCTTTTTTTGGGGGGTTTCTTTTGGCCTTAACTCTTGTGCCCATTGAGGGAACACTTAACAAGCTCGTATATACCTGTCTATAATTGAGATAACAACATGCAAGAATTGCAATAGAGCAATTTCAACGGCCAATTTCAAGTTCCTCAAAACAATGATAAAACATGAATTCTTCATCACAAAAAATCACTTTTGCGCTATATATTTTTGATAGATTTTCATTTTAACAACCAATTTTTGATAGTAAATAAATTTGAGATTGATTGGTATAATAATGTAAAATTAGTTATTATTAATTTTATTTTACTTTTACAGTTAATAATTATTATTAGTAATAATTTAAACATTCTTATTTATTAGATTATATTTATTATCTATTAGTTTTAAACTATTTCTATATCAAATAGGTAGAATAAAAGAAATAAATGTAATAAAACTTATGAAAAATATGGTATTGAATTTTAAAAAAAAAATAAAAAATAAAAAAGTGAATTTTTTTGGCACGGGCTCTTTAAATTTGAAGTGTGGGGTGGTCTATTGAATTGGTGGTGGACTACAGCCTAATTTGCCTAACTTTCTAATTAAGATGAAAAAATATATTCTCTTATTTTTTTTATCATAAGAAAAAATATACGCTATACATGATAATTTAATCAATTTAAAGATAGAATCTATAGTTAAACAAATATAGTTCCACAGCTTAGATTCTTTAAGTTTTGAAGTTGACACTTAAAAGGAAATATATTGCATGTAAGCTTACGAAGCATATCGTTAACTGCTAGAAAAAAGGTAGGATTCTGTCTTCTTGATTTTTTTTTTTTTCTTTCTTTTTTGTAATGATATGCCAGAAGTTTATCATTGGTCCATACCATATGTCATTTTTAGCCACTTGTGTTTGGTACTTTGGTCGTCCACTCTGTAGTGGGTAGAAGAAATGGAAGAATCTATATCTGTCAATGGAAGTCACTAGATGTGAGAAGGCATAATAAACGCCAAACAGAGGTCTTGGTTGATCCAAAAAAAAAAAGGGGCCAAACAGAGGAGCCAGGCCTCTTGGGCTTTAACAGTTTAACCAATTAGATAAAAAGAACAATCACACACAATGAGAATACAAACATGTACTAGTTAGAGCAGTAACCGTTCGCATCCAATGGGCTAAATAACAAGTCTCATATTTTTACTATTTAAGTTGTATTAAATTATTAATGACTTTTTTAATACAATAACCAAAACCTTTTCAGTAGTACAATCCTTTATAAAAAAGAAAAAAAAAAGTACTTCACATCAGAGGAAAGGGCATCTTCTGTACTTCCTACATTTAAAGCACTTCACTCATTAGCACTTAGGCTTTTGGTGCAGTGGTCTCAGTCCACTCATTAAGTACATTTTTCATTTTTTAAAACAATGATTCAAATTTAATCTTTTGTAAATTTATTTTTTTAAAAAAGTACTTCACATCAAAGGAAAGGGCATCTTCTGTACTTCTTACATTTAAAACACTTCACTCATTAGCACTTAAGCTTTTGGTCCAGTGATATCAGTTCACTTGTTAAGTACATTCTTTATTTTTTAAAATAATAATTTAAATCTAATCTCTTATAAATTTATTTTTTAAAAAAAGTACTGCACCCATTAGAATATTTAATAATGAGATAGTTGTACTCTAAACCAACAACCGAAACAAAGTACGAGCCAAATGGGGTAAGAATATTCTTTTATCTCATCAATAACAAAGTAAGTGATCCCTGCCACACAGAGGCGGAGGTAGAAATTTTTTTCAAGAGGTAAGATGTTAAAATTTTTAAAGTTTAAAAGGGGTTAAATAATTTTTTATATACGAATTATATATTGATTTGCAAGATTTTCAAATTTCAGGAGACGAACGCCTCCCCTCGCACCTTCTGGCTTCGCCACTGCTGCCACATTATCCAAATATTTGCATTTAATTTTTTTTGTTTGAAATTACTTGCATTTAATTAACTTACTACTCCCATACAACTTACAAATTTGATATTATTAACTTACCACATTATCATCTATGCTTCATTGTAAAAGTACATTTCATCATTAGAGTTGAAATTTAAATATCTTGCCTCAAGTTATAATTCGTTTAAAATAATAATAATAATAATAATAACCAAAAGCAAGTATCAGCCGATGGGGGTGAGAATATTCTTTTATCCCAACAATAATAAAATAACTATATCAAGGATCCCTGCAACACTATCCAAATACTTGCATTTTATTAATTTACTAATCCTATACAACTTACAAATTTGATATTAAAAAAATTAAAATAAAATAAACCTTAACAGATTTGATAATGCCATTGCAAAGTAGAATACCACCACTACGATGGTCCTTCCCACACCATCACTCTAAACTGCAACGTTTTATGCAAACCTTTCCACCTTTCTCTTTACCAGGGTAAAAAGTGAAAAACAATTAGAAAATTGACGTAGTTTCCGGCTAGCATTTCTCGGGCACAAATCCGATGAGATTGTTCCTGCGGTCGAAACCGACACGTGTCCCCTGCTGTTGTACGTTCCCAATGATTGACAACGACGTTGACATTGGGGCAAACGCGAAACAGAACGTTCCGTCGGAGTCCACCGGGATCAGGTAATTCTTCGCCGGTAACGGCAATATTTTCCCCTTGGGGAAGTGAAACGACACTGTCGGGATCTCCACGCTCGTCCTCGATGACAGATCATAACACGTGTCGAACAACGCCACGCTGTCTCTCGACCGCAGACCCTTTGTCCCCTGAACAAAAGCGTCGCGGAGCAAGTTGTAGGCGTCGGTTTGCAGTCGAGTCACGGCGGTCCCTGAGTCCACGATGATCCCTCCGCTCCCTGAATCGTCGATTTGGAATGTAGACTCCGGAATCGGAAGCAGATTGCCGCCTACGCTGATTCCCGTTAAACCGACGTATAAAAAGGTGTCTAGCTGGGCGTTGCGGAGTAACGGAGCTGTAACGGCGTTAGCAGGGAGAGGTGAGTTGAACTCGAGAGTCGAGGCCGAGTCAGTATCACGGTCCACGAGGCAATAAGAAAAGGTACTGGCGTTAAGCTGCGAAGGGAAGGAAAGTGAGCCGCCGCCGAGACCAAGCAGGCCAGCGGCGCCGGTGAACAAGCCTTCGTTGTTATGACCGCAGCCGATGGCTATGTTATCCACCGACGTCGAGCCAAGAGTGATTGTCTCGGTGACGAAATCGCCGACGGTGTAAGACCCGTCCCCGTAGGAAACCTCGTAGAGACAAGTGTTGTTGCGGCATTCCGATACGTCCAGTGATTTGCATTGCCGAGCCTCGCACGTGAGAGGCGAGTAGGAAGCAGAGGAAGCCGGCTCGAAAATTGGGTCTGCTTGCCGGTAGCAATCTGCGCAGGGTGCGCATTGCACCCAGTTAACGTCACTGCCGGTGTCGATGACCATGTACACTTGACTCGGCGGTTTTCCGATTGCGACTCGGGAAAAATACTCCCCGCTTCCTTGACTCGAACCAGAGACAACTGGAGTTTCCAGATCATTTGCTTTAAACTCTGAGCCGTTATCAAGGGGCTTAAGCTCCGATTTAGTAATACCGTTAACAGCCAGATCTAGCCGAGTCGCGAGGGATTCGACTCGGGCTGAGTCGCGCCGGAGTCGGGACAAGACCAGTGATTTATAGTCACTGTGTTGGGTGTTCTGAACAGAGATTCTAGAATGAAGCTGCAGCGAAAGTGGAGATGCAGATGAAGCAGAATGCGAAACGCTCTGCTCCTCTTGGCTAAATTCCGGCACCATTTTGGGATCGGAAGAGACGACCTCTTTAGCCCTCTGTAGAGCTGCAGAGACGTCCAGCACAGTCGTTATTGATATCGGCGCTAAGCTTCGAGAATGAGCAAAGGGAGAGGTGAAGAAGAAAGAAACCAAAACAATGCAGAAGATCAGAAGCCCCATTTTTTGCTGCGGTGAGAGGACAGGAGAGGCTTCGGGTTCTGTTTTATAAAGGAGGGGATGGAAAATGAAAACAGTGGCGTAAGAAAGATTGTGCAAATTGTAAGCTTCTTTTTTCAACACCAGCGTTTTCTTGGAGACCATGAAATTATCACTGCTAAGCTTTATTGTTATTCTTTTTACAAGGTAAAATTTTTCTAAAGCCACAATAACATAATCTTTGCGTGGTTGTTGTAATTTTAACGTTGAGCCGTTGAGGAATTGGAGGCACTTTCTTAAAGTGGGCCATTAAATGG